TCCCTTATGTTTAAAATAGGGCATTTTGATACTAAATTTGTGAGGTTGTTACCATTTTATTTAGTTGTAATTTTTTCCCTTTACTTATGATAGTCTGTGTGCATGTGCACATGAGAGAGAGAGAGAAAAAGAGAGAGAGAACACCCTCCCAGTGAGGCCTGACACGCTGTAATCCTTCTTCCTCTCTTTTCCCTCAGAATCGAGAATGCTCATGTTTGTGCCTGGTGTGTTGTTGCCAGGGCCAGGATCCAAATCTCAGTTGGCCATGTGGGATCTAGCTTTCTTCACAGCACTTAATTACTGCATGATGGGGCCAACCCAATGATAATTTTAATGAGATCACTCTTTAAAGAATCCAGCATCATTGGGTCATTCAGTGGCTTGGTGGTTAAGGCGGCTAGATCTCACATGACCAGTTGCTCAGTTTGAGTCCTAGACCCTGTGGCCTGAAAAACATATCAGGTGCACGCACGGGCATGCATGCCCCAAATCCTGGAAGGATGGAGAAATAGAGGAGTAGAGATTGCAGCATGACCACCCCCTCATGAAGGGCCCTTTCTCACTTGCTCTCCTACCCCCAACAACTTGAAAAGAAAAAAGTTTAAAAAATAATACAGCATTGTACCTGGAAGATAAAAAAACCTAGCATTAGCCCAGCTATGGTCACGTGCACTGGTAGATGCTGAATTTCAAACTGCCAGGTTTGGGATTCAAACTGTGGTCATTCATGTGAGAGTCCAGTGCCTTAACCACCATACCACCTGCTGGCTCCTGCTGTTGTTGTTATTTTAATTGCTAGAGGGTACATGTGCTCACCAGAGAGAAAGAGAAAAGAGAAAGCATCCCCATGATGGGAGATGGTCATGCTACAATTTCTTCTCCATTCCTCTATCCTGTCAGAATTTGGGCATGCATACATACACATGTGCCCAGCATGCTTTTCAAGCCACTAGAGCTAGGATTTGAACCATGTTTGGCCATGTAAGATCCAGTTTTTTTGAACATTAGCCCTCAAATCTAATTTTAAGTTTTTTAGTTTTGTGGTAATTATTTGTTATTTCCAAATACCAAAGCCTTTAGCAGTAGGACAATTATTGTATAGTGAATAATAGGCAGATCTGGAGACTCAGAGGTAGCTACGACTAGGAAAAGAAGAGATCAGAAAATGCATTTACCCATTTTATTGGGCAGTCCTTCAGCCAACACACATGAAAGGGTGTGGTGCAGTTAGGTCTTTCTCTGTTTCACTTTGTCTGCCCATCTCAAATTATTTCATTGCCATATCTGAGCACTCACTTAGAGCTAAAATTGTGTGCCTTAGGATGAGAGTATTGCTTTAAGGAGTCTTGATTGGGGCCAGATGGTGATGCAGTAATAAAATGTGATGTTCTGTGAGGAAGGTTCACATAGGAAGGTTCCCGGTTCAAGTCTGGAGACTTCCCTGAGTACACCAGGTGAATGCTTCCCCATGATTCGAGGCTAGCTGAAGGTTAGGGGTGCATCATGGCATTCAGGCTCTGTTGGGGTGCTGTCTCTCTCTCTCTCTGATTGATAGAAGAAATAGATAAACTCAAGAAAAAAGAAGACTCTAGGCTTTGCAGAAGTGTCTGTTGTTTCATTCCTATTGCCTTGACTCTGCAGTCATGGTATTCCTCACCATTCCCTTTTCCCTAGGTGTACGTGGTTGGGAACGAGCCTGTAACAGTTTTATTGGATTCCCTGCTTCCAGTCCTGGGAATGCTCTTTTCTCTCTACTGTTTTACCAAGCAGAGTGTGTCACACATAAGGTAAATAATCAAAAGAACCTTATTTTTCCTTTAATAAAGAGAATCTTCTTTGTTTATAGTGACAGTTAATTTTTTTTTTTGCCTGTTGTTCTTATTTTGAATGCAAAACTTATGCTACTTTGTCATTGTTATTTCCTTTAAAGTCAGGAATACATGTGGGGATTTTCTTATTCTACTCATCTAGAAAAGAAAGAGAATTTTGCAGAGCACAGGGGATTAGGTATAGTTTTTACAGTGACTTTCCTCAGCCTCTGTCCTAGACATCAGAGACAAAAATCTCTGTTTACATGCATTAACATGCCATTGTTTGATCAGTGAGAAATACTGCAATTACATGTCTAGGGAGGAGGAAATAGGGGATGGATCTTAATGACCTTGTGGAGAGTTAGAAAACTGGTTCGATAAATCTGGATCTGAATGTAGCACATTGTAAGTTGGCCTGGGATTTGGAGTTAGTGATGCAGTGTTGTTTAAAAACAAGGGATTTCTTAATAATCCAGAAAATACTCTTGTATTAGGATTTAAGTAGGACTCATTTTGTATCAGCTGTGTAGTCAGAGTCAGTTTTTTTTTTTTTCTTTCTGGTGAGAGTTTATATCCTATTTAAAGTCCTTCAGAATTCTGGTTTTTGGTGGTTGGAAATCCCTATATGTAATATGATATATATTAATAGTATATTTTCACAGGATTATTGTAAAGACTGTGCATTAAAGTATATAGCAAGTTCCCTGGAAAATAGGAAGCGCAATAGTTGGTAGCTATCATTATTGTCATTATTAGATGGTGACGTAAAATACTCAAGTCTTGCATATTATTCAAAGCCTGTGTTTCGCCTTTGGTCAGCTTTAGGTCAACACGTCATTGTAGCAACATAGCTTCTTGGAATAACCAAAATATGAAAGGGGTTGGTGCAGTGGCATGTATCTGTAGTCCCACCCCGTCTGGAGGCTGAGGCAGGAGGATCACTGACTTGCAGCCAGCGTGGGCAACAGAGTGAGGCTATCTGAAGGAGCCAGACATAGTGGCGCGTGCCTATGGTCCCAGCTGCTCAGGAGGCTTAGGCAAGAAGATTGCTACACAGCAAGACCATGTCTTAAATAACGTTACACTTTTGCTCACACAGACATGCATATTCACTCATGCATGCATGTGTACACACAAGTCCTGTGGGGCTTATGTGTCACATCAAGGTTGCTTCCAGTGCCAAGGATTGGTTAGGCACTCTCTGAATTTCAGAATATTTGTGCTCTGAAATTCACAAAAAGCAAACTTTCTACTTCTGCATTTCAGTAGTAGTAGGTGATTCTGCCAGCATTTAGAATGCTGTGGAACCTGACAGTCGTTTTTTCTTTTCTTTTTTTACATTAGCTTCTTAGATGCATGGAGTAAGATAACAAGCTCATTCATAACTGTTTTTTCTGCCAGATCACTTTGCCAAGAGATCTTATTATGGATCCTAGAGAAGCTGGAAAGGAAGAAGGCAATTGCCTGCCTGTCAGGATTTGCAGGCTTGGACAAAGCTGTGCCCTCTCTCCATCCTCTGTGTCAGTTTAGAGTTGCCACTCAAGGTGGCATTATGATTACCATCAAAAAGACCATTAGGTGAGTCCACCCATCATTGACTTACCTCGCTTCACGTTGTTCTACCCAGAAGGCCATTCTGTGATTCAGCCACTAAGGGGCGCTGGTAGAAAAGAAACCAGAAACTCAAGCAGCTGAAGCACTTGCTATTTATAATTTCTAAATGAAATGTGAGCCTGAAATAATCCTCCAGGTTTGGTTTTTTTTCCAAGATGCCAGCTAATAGTAGGTGCAATTTACTGGATCCTCACAGCTCTGCATCACAATAAGCCCACTTACATCACGAAGTCTTTGCCAGTGAGTCAAGAGTAACGGGTAGACACATGTTTACTCTTAATACCATAATAATCTGTTTCTCTTTCTGACTCTCAAAAATAGTATATGTATATGTTCATAATCAGATTCATTCCTAAAGGAAATTGCCTAATAGTGTATTTTATGGTAATTTTATAAGTGTTTCTCATAAGGATTGATTAGAAAGTGGTTAATAAATAGAAGTGGAAAATCCCGATGGGATGGAGACATGGAGAAGGGATTGCAATATTACCATGCCCCCTTGGGGGATGCTTTCCTCTTCTTCCTCTTCCTCTGTTTCTTTGTCTCTCGTTGGCAAAAGCATACGCTCTCTGGCAGATGAAATAAATAAATATTAGCAGAATGGGTAATTTTGTTCTCCAACATCTCAGAAGTGTATATTATAAATTAGTTCCACTTCATGGGTGATCCACGTAGTATGTTACCACCTCAGAACATAAGTTTCTGCTGGGACCAGCAGGTGACGTGGTGGTTAAGGCTCTGGATACTCCCACATGGCCGACCACGGTTCGAGTTTGGACCTGGTGGCTTGCTTTCTCACTTTCCTCTCTCTCTTTCTGTGTCTCTCGGGTCAAATTAAAATGAAGGAATGAATAAATAAATAAGTAGATAAATCTTTTTAAAAAAAAAAAAGAACATAAGTTCCTGCTTATTATAGTCCATATAGTATTTAACTAGTGGCAGTTAGCTACCCTCTTCCAATTGTATATCATGTTCAAAATGCTGCTTTTTTGTTTTGTTTTTTAAGGGTTTAGAGTCAGTATTATATTTATAGTTAACTTGGTAAATTATTAAAGCACTCTCTTGTGACCAGCAGGTGGCATGGTGATTAAGGTGCTGGACATTCCCACATGGCTGACCATGGTTTGAGTCCTGGACCTGGTGGCTTGCTTTCTTACTTTCCCTCTCTCTCTTCCTGTGTCTCTCTCTGGTCAAATTAAAATAAATGAATGAGTAAATAAAATAATTTTTAAAAAGTAAAGCACTCTTTCAATATGATAAGCTTAAGAAAAATAGGAAAACGAATTGCATACAGAATTGTCAGTACAGACTAATTTACTGAGAGTTCTTGGGCATTAAATAAGTTTTGTGGTTATAACTATGCCTGTGAATTGAAAGAGGTTAGCAGTTTTGGCTTTTTTTTTTTTTTTTTTTTTTTGCGCGGTTTTTGGGTTTTTTTTTTTTTTTTTTTTTTTTGCTATAGGGCACATGTGCTTACCAGAAAGAGAGAGAGAAACAGAGAGACAGAAAGTGAGAAATCACCCTCCCAGGGGGGGATGGCCACACTGCAATCCCTTCTCCTCCATTCTCCTCTCAGGATCTTGGGCACGCATGCACATGTGCCTGGCGTGAGTTTAAGCCACCGGGTCCAGGCCTCGAACCGCAGTCAACTACATGGGAGTCCAGCGACATAGCCACTATGCCAACTGCTGATCCTGGAATGTTTATTTTAAAAACACTTTTTTAAAAAATTTGCCAGAGTGCATGTTTGTGCACCAGAGAGAGAGAGAAAGCACTCTCCCTGGGGCACAGTCACATTGCAGTCCCTTCTCTATTTCCCCTCCTCTCAGGAATTCTAAGGCATGTACGCACATGTACCTGGTGTGTTTTTTAAGCCACTGAGTCCAAGACTCCCACTGTATGGTCAGCCATGTGGGATCCATCCCCCTTAACTGGCATGTCATGAGCCAGTGAAAGGAACTTTTTTTTTTTTTTTTTGCTATAGGGCGTGTGCGCTTGCCAGACAGAGACAGATAGAAAGCAAGAAATCACCCCCCAGGGGGATGGCCACGCTGCAATCCCTTCTCCTCCATTCTCCTCTCAGGATATTGGGCACGCACGCACACGCGTCCGGTTTGAGTTTAAGCCACAGGGTCCAGGATGCAAACCGCGGTTGACTATATGGGAGTCCAGCAACATAGCCATTACGCTAACTGCTGGTCTCGAAAGGAACATTTTTTACTTAGACCAATTTAGTGACTACACAGAGAATTTTATAGGCTTTAGTGCAGTTCTCAGTGCATGTATGCCAGTATCTTCAGTATTTACTGAAACTACAGTTCCATTTGTTAGGAAAAGAAGGAATAGTGATTGAATGAATTTCCATCCACTGCCAGAGCAGTGGGAGCTTAACCTGGAGTCCCTGCATTGATTCTAGGAGTCATTGATTCTCTTGAAATTATACATACAAAACATATTTATATGCAAACACAGATTTTTTTCTGAAAATAGGATCCTTATCTTTTATTAGATATTTAAAACAGTCCATGTTTCCAAAACATTGATAAACACTATGCCAGAGGTGAGTATGTGTGAGATTTTATCTTTTGCTTTTTCTCTTTTTAACTTGCCAGGGAACATGTGTACTCACTGGAGCGGGGAGGTGCAAGAAAGCACCCCTCGTGGGGTATGGTCTTGCTGCAATCCTTTCTCTCGTCCATCTCTCCCTCCATTTAGGATTTTGGACATGCATGCACACACAGTAGTAGACCATGTTACAGTCATTTTGATCTGTGTCACCATTTACCTTTCTACTCTGTTTTTATGCCTGTGCCAGTTATCCATTAGAAACTGGATTAAATAAATGATAAGAATAGCTTAGCTTTTATAATCTTTGAATTCAGAGTTTTTACTGAACTAAATGTATCTATTTGGATTTCACTATTTTTGAAATTTTAGGAGTGAATAAAATAGTGCTTCTTAAGATAATTATTGTCATGCCTTTTTCTTTTTAAAATTATGCTACAGGATATGTGTGCTTAATGGAGACAGACAGAGAAGGGGGGCAGTGAAAAATCACCTCCCAGGGAGATGGCCATGTCACAATCTCTTCTCTTCCATTCTCCTTTCAAGATACTGGGCACGCATACACTTGGTGTGTTTTCCAAGTCAGTGAATGGATCCAGGGCTCAAATTCGCATCGTCGGCCACGTGGGAGCCAACTGCCTTACCCACCTGTTAGGTCTTCTTTTATTTATTTATTTTTAATAATTATTAAGTTTTATTCATTATTATTACTATTATTTGACCAGAGAGAGAGAGGGAAGGTGAGAAAGCAAGCCACCAGGTCCAGAACTTGCACTGAGGTCCACCATGTGGGAGTATAGTGCCTTAACCACCATGTCACCTGCTAGTTCCGTTAGGTCTTCTTAAGAGCATCTAAACATACTACTTCATTTTGATAATCAAGATGCTTCATATAAGCTTAAAAGTGAAGTTTACCCATTTCAGCTTTTATTTTAACATTAAGAGTTGGTAGAGAAATATGACTCATCTGGAGGACTCTTGAAAGTCCTGGGATAATAAGGAAATAATCCTAAACTAAATTTATAGGTTATTCATTTTATTAGAGTAGTGTGAAGGCCATGTTTTTAGTGAACTGGCATATTGGGACAATATTACCTAGTCAGAAATTCTTCCAAATTAACCTTTTTGTTTCCTGCCAAGTTAACTTTTTTTCTTCTAACTTTTTTTTTTTAAGAATTGTTTAATTGGGACCAGCAGTTAGCGTAATGGCTATGTCGCAGGACTCCCATGTAGTCAACCGCGGTTCGTGTCCTGGACCCAGTGGCTTAAACTCACACCGGGCATGTGTGCGTGCGTGCCCAAGATCCCAAGAGGAGAATGGAGGAGAAGGGATTGTGGCATGACCATCCCCCCTGGGGGGTGATTTCTCGCTTTCAGTCTCTCTGTCTCTCTCTGTCTGTCTGGCGAGCGCACGCGCCCTATAGCAAAATCCTCTCAAAAAAAAGAATTGTTTAACCATTTATTTTATTTTAATTTGACCAGAGAGAGAGAGAAAGTGAGAAAGCAAGCTTCCAGGGCTGGGACAGACTCAAACCCCAGTCAGCCATGCAAGAGACCAGCACCCTTAACCACCATGTCACCTGCCGCTGGCCCCCACCACCAAATTAACTTTAACAATTGTACTTTTCAGTAAGATGAAGCAACATCTGTCATTTTTTTTTCAATTTAGTCTGTTCTCTGTATAATCCAAAAACACATGAAGAAAGAAACAAAAATCCAACACCCTCCTATTCATTTCTTACCTTACGTCAGTGTTTTGGTTTTTAGTACATCTTCTGTACCTTTGTCTTTGTTTACATGATATGGTATAATAATATTGTGTGTTGGTCTTTTATCAGATGAACTAAAACTAAAAGCTATAGCATCTCTTGAGAAGTTTCTTAAATTTTTTTGCAATAATCACAGCACGGTTTTCAGTAACATAATCAAATCTTTTTACTTGATAATCACATTTACTTTACTAATTTTTCTGAGGCTTTATGCATTTTCTTTTTTAAAAGAATTATTTAATTTTATTTATTGTTATTATTTTTGTTACTTCACCAGAGAAAGATAGAAAAGGAAAGTAAGAAAGCAAGCCAGCAGGTCTAGGATGAACCATGGTCCCCCATGTGGGAGTGCAGTGCCTTAACTACCATACCACCTGCTGGCCTCCTTAATGCATTTTCTTATCTCAACTAATTGGCTCATATTAATTGACATTTCCTGCATCTCTTTCCATGGTGCTGTATGGTACTACCATAACCCTTTAGTGGCTCATCAGAAAAAAATTAAAGTTCCTCTGAGTGACATTCAAGGCCCTCTGATCTTGTCCCACTTCTCATGTAGTCTCTTTCTCTATCTTTCCTCAGGAACCAAAATATCTGTCAGATTGTCACAAAAGTCATGGCATATTTTTCATTTTTTCTATGTAAAAATGCATCATGACTTTTCTGATGATCCAATACATATTGCAACTTACACTTTTTAAAAAAAGAATTATTTATTTAATTTTATTTATTATTATTATTTTATAATTTGCTATAGGACACATGCACTCACCATACAGAGAGAAAGAGAGAGGAAAAGTAAGAAAGCAAGCTTCCAGGTCTGGGACGCAAACTGTCATTGACCATGTGAGAGAGTCCAGTGCCCTAACCGTCAAGCCACTTGCTAGCTCTACAACTTTAATTCTCTTTACTTTTGTAACTTATGAAATAGCAGTAATTCTTCAACATCCATCTCTCTCTCTCTCTTTCTCTTTTTTAATTTGCCACAGGGCACATGCGTTTGCCGCGAGAGATCGGGGGAAGGCGAGAAAGCACCCCTTGTGGAGTATGGTCATGCTACAGTCCCTTCCTCCATCTCTCCTTCCTTTCAGGATGCTGGGCATGCACTAGCATATCTTACAAGCCTTTGAATCCAGGGCTCAAACCACGTGGTTGGCCATGTGGGATCTAGCCGCCTTAATCTCCATGTTATGGGCCAACTCCAATATGCATCTTTTATTTATTTATTTTTTTGAGAGGTTTTTGCTATAGGATGTGTGTGCTCGCCAGAAAGACAGAGAGAGACAGAGAGACAGAAAGTGAGAAATCACCCCCCAGGGGGGATGACCATGCCACAATCCCTTCTCCTCCATTCTCCTCTTGGGATCTTGGGCATGCACACACATGCACCCAGTGTGAGGTTAAGTCACCGGGTCCAGGACTCAAACTGTGGTGGACTATATGGGAGTTCAGCAACATAGCCATTACGCCATCTGCTGGTCCCCCCAATATCCATCTTAAAAGCCACTTTCAGGCTTCTAAAATCATATTTCACAAGAAAAGGTACAGTTACTACAGAAAACAGTCTAGCAGTTCCTCAAAAAGTTAAACATGAAATTGATATATGATCCAGTAATTATGCTGGGGCTGGTCCCAACATCCATTTTAGAAGTCACTCTGAGCCAGCCCGTGGGCTGATGGTTAAGATGACTGGATCCCACATGGCTGACAGTGAGGTTTGAATTCCAGACCCAGACACTTAATAACACACCAGGTGCTTCTGTGTTCATGTCCAGAATCCTAAAAGGAGAATGAGATGGAGAGAGGACTGTGATCTGGCCATTCTCCATGGGGAGGAGGTGCTTTCTCACTTCTCTCTCTTTGTCTCTCTCTGGTGAGCACACATGACTCTCTGGCAAAATGGAAAAGAAAAAAAAAAAAAGCCACTTCCTTTCTGACTCTTTTCCTATTTGAACAAATGACCATGCAGGACTTAATAGACTAGTGTATAAGAATAAATTCTTTGCTTTTTCAGTTTGGAGAAATAGAAGAGTAAGTTAAACAGTTTCTTTTTTTATTTTTTAAGTTCTTTATAATAATCAACTGTATGAAGATAACATGTTGCTTTAGGGGCCAGCAGGTGGCATGGTGGTTAAGGCACTGGACTCCCACATGGCCAACTATGGTTCAAGTCCCAGACCTGGGGGCCTGAAAATCACAACAAATAAATAGATAAATGAATAAATAAACGTTTTAAAAAATGTTGCTTTATAAAATTATTATGCAGCTTCAAAAATTTATGTCTCTGGGTGACACTGCCAAGTTATATTTTACCCTGCATTGTAGTGTTGAAGACGAAGATGAAGATGAAGCCTTGTACCAGAAGGTGTCTTCAGAGCAGGGCCAGATGGAACATCTTGGGGACTTGCTGTCCCACTGCCAGAAGAGTGGTCTGGCAGGAGACTTCTTCATCTTCTGTTTAAAGGTGAGAAGTATGTGTAGTTCATGGTCACCTTTATTCCAGGGTAGTTCAACAGACTGAATTTCTTAGACAGTCATCATTTTTTTTTTTTTTAAGAATCATTTTACTTGACTTTATTTATTTACTTATTTTAATTTTACCAGAGAGGAACGGGGGGGGGGGGCGCGAGACAG